TTACTCCTGTCGGTATTTCCAATATATCCTTTCCACATTCTGTCTATCGGGTCTGCTTTCATCTATTTCTATGAATCACATCGGTGGTGCTTTGCTGTGGAATAATACCAGCACCCCCGCTGATGAGATATCTGGTGGCAGGACCATAATGCTTCTCTTGCGTGTCTGAGCCTTCTTATTATTTCTTCTTGGATCGTTTGTTGTTCTTCTGAGCTTGTTAGGTGTATTTCCTGTATGCAGATTATGTCTGGTGGTGTTTTGCCAAACCAGCCTTTTTGCGGTCGTGAAGCTAAACCATCTGTCCACGAAGGTGAGAATGGTAGCCAAACCTCACACATTCTGGGATTGGATGTCTATTTCGGATTTCCCCTTTAGCTCGGACTGTCTTGTTTCTTGCCTCGTGCCTCTGTCCTTCCTTACTTATGTGATCTGTACTTCAGTGCCTGTGGTTCAGGTTAAACCACCAGTACTTAGCCCAGCTATCAGCCGCGGAAAAAAAATAGAGTAGAAACGTCTCTAGTTGGATGAATTTGGGCACTCCTGTAGTGACCGGTACATTTCCTAAAATTGTGGCTTGTTAACGGGCACGACTTTAGGACGTACTGGTGGTTTGAAGGAGGGAGTTAAGCCACCAGTACCTCGGGCACATATATCGGCCATGGGAAAAAACAAAGTGGAAGCGTTTCGACTTGGATGAATTTGGGCACTCCAGTCCAGGCCCGTTCATCCGAGCGCATCAGGGAGCGTTACCCGCTGTGACTGTCGGAGGTACTGGTGGTTTAAGAAGAGTCAGATGGGAGGAGAAGTGGGGAGCTGTCCATGAAGCGGTCCCCACTCCTGTGCAAGGACTTGCCGTTTGCTGCCGCCGGTGACCCGCGATCCAAGGCTGTAACATAGGTAGGGTAGATTTGTAATTTTGTTTGGCTGAGGGCTAACCGAGAGACCTGCCTGTAAGGAAAATTCGCGAAGGACACATCTGCAAATTCGGGAAAATATAGGCCCACAATAACTGGAATTTCCTACAGTCACCCTAGCTGCAAATAGCAGGCCCGGGCTACTCCTAGGACAGACAGGCCCTAAAGAACTACGCTGATAGACGGTCCTATGGCCTATAGTCGGGTTGGGAGAGGCCCTAGAGGTCGAAACTGAAACGGTACCGTTTGGTCCAGTCAGTCCGGTCTAGGTCTAGGCTAGGGTAGTATAGTTCTATTAATAGTTGGTAGGAATCAGTTCGGGGCTTTTTGGCAGTTGGTACTGTGTACGTCGCTGATGCGCAACGCATGAACTGGAGTGGTGACAGCTTCAGCGTTGGAGAAAACAGACATAGCCGGACCTGCGAAGTGTCGGCCATAGCTGGGGCCTGTGCTGTCCTCTGACAGCACGTGGGGCTGTTCAGAGCTCCGGGCTATCTGAAGTCTGCTGGAGGCAAGTGAAGTTGGTGCCCTGCTGAACCCTCCTCAGGAGTAGGGTTTCAGGGTGTTTGGCGCTGCAGCCATAGCTGCAGCTTTCTTCCTCGGAGACCATCTTTGTCAGGAGAGGTGGCGCTGCTACAGACTTCCATCCGGGAAGTCCTCTGGCACTTCATCATCATCAGACACTGTGGCGCTGGTCTTCTTCTTCATCCTCTGAGAGGCGCTTGGCCTCAGAGGCCTGTTTCAGGGTGGCGCTTCCCTCTGGAGGCAGTATCTGGGTGGCGCTTGATGTTTCAGGGACTCAGGGGTAGTTCTAGCGGTTATTCAGGGTTTGGGAGTGAAGCGCTGGTCAATTTTGAGCAGCGCACCATGGTTCTGGGATTATCCTGACATATTGAGACTGTGAGTTTAATAAACACTGTTTATACTGTGTGTGAAGTTGTGAACTATCATTGCTTAATTGTTTCCTGGATGTGATCTACTCTGCTTTCCTTTGTGACTGGTTGTAAGGATTCTGCGGAGCGAATTGCACTTTCAGTGTTTTCTGTCATATCGCATGGTCAAGTCTTCCGCTGTGTTTATCTCTCCCTGTGCGGTGTGATACTCCCATCCTCTCCCCCCTTCCTTCTGTGTATGTATGGGCATACCTGGAAGTCTATGTGAGCGAGTGTTGGTCTTCTGACAACAAACAACCAGATTCATAACACCTGTTCGCAGTTTGAAGTTCCCAGTTCCGAGTTTCGTTACCAGTCCCAGCAGCGTGTATAGTGTCTTTCGTATGCAGGTAGGAAAATTCAGTATAGTGTCTTTCGTATGCAGGTAGGAGAATTCGATAGGCCATTTGTCAGTTCATCGAGTCAGCAGCGAAGTCCCAGGAGAATCCGCAAATTTCCAGAAGCGACAAACATTGGCGGGGTACCAGACCCATAACCAGTAACTGCAGTCCGGACTCCGGAAGCTGAATCGTCGAGTACAAAAGTGCAGTCGCGGACATTGTCAACACATATTCAATTGTGCGCCATGCGGAGGTGCTGCTGCACTATTTTGGCATTCGCTGAAGTGCGCTGTTTGGAGATACCGCGACTTGTGCTGTTTTGTTGCCTCTGGCTGGTAAAGTAGTCTACGGCACTGGGCCCCCTTAGAGAGTAGCCATAGCCGCAGATCAAATGTGAGGCTGTGAGGGAAAACGGCTCGAGGGGTATTCAGAGAGACAAGATCCTGGACACAGAGAGGGAGAGAATAGTACGGTTGAGGGAAAGGGAGAGAGGCCCGTACCTGTGAGAGCTGGCTTGGTGGCTATAACCGCTTCTCGTAAAAGACAATTCTCTGTAATGGAGTTGTCTGGCAGAGACCACTTCCGAGTTGCGCATCTCACTTGCGCTTTTATGTGTGTGTGTCATCTTGCATACGTGTATTACGTGCGCATGGTGTGAAATCGTTGTGAGGGGTTCATCTCAACGCGCACAATAACCTGATAACATCACAACGATTTAACACCCTACGCAGGCTCTTAAAAAAAGAAGAAGGTAATTGCAGGCTGTGTCTTGAGCGGTTTATGGTGCGAGGCTAAGGGGGTATAATATAGACACAAGGGGATAATATAGACAGACTGAAACAAAAAGGAAAATTGAATTAATGCAATATATGATATAGAAGTTGCATACACCTTCTGTAGTAGAATATAGAGAGCAGTCAAGTGATGATAATTTTACACAGACCTGTTCTGAATTTACTTGAGGAACATGCATAAAAAAAAAAGAAAAAAAAAGAAAAAAAGAAAAAAAAAGAAAAAAAGAAAAAAAAAAAAAAAAAAAAAAAAAAAAGAATATAAAAAACACCCCCCCCCCCCCCCCCCCCCCCCCCCCCCCCCCGCCCCCTCCTCCCTCCCCCTTTTCAATCCAGAAACAATGGCCTAGACAACAAGAGTAATTTGAACAGCCATTTAGTAAAACTGACATTTTTCAGAATTTTCAATTTTGACGAAATCGGGTTTCCCCCAAAAATGCGACATTTTTTTAGCATTTTTGTTTGCCCACGACATCGGTGACTGTTCATAGTCTGGACGCCAGACTATCCGATGTACCCGGCATTTTCTTCGTTTTCTTTGGGCCCTCTGATCCATTAAACCTGGAACGATACAGAGAAGGGAAGATTAGCAGCATGGTGCCTGCGCAAGGATGACACACATAAATCGAGAAATGGTCCAAATTAAAAAAAAAAAAAAAAAAAGCAGCAGCGGCAGCAGATGAAGAAGAAAGAAGAAGCAGGAGCAGCAGGAGGAGCAGGAGGAGCAGGAGGAGCAGGAGGAGCAGGAGGAGCAGGAGGAGCAGGAGCTCAGAAAGAAGAACACACAGAAGCTCAAGAAAGAGGGAAAACACAAAGAAGAACAAGAATGTCATGGTAAAATTGTTAACACCTTTGACTTTCAAGTGACTTGCGTCCAAGGACTCTTAAAGAGTCCGAAGTCTGAAAAGTTGAAAACAATATATATATATATATATATATATATATATATATATATATATATATATGACGATATATATATCGTATATATATATATTGTTGTCCTCTTCTCCCTCTCTGCCTACGGTTTACCGGGCAGTTCTATTTGACGATATATATATCGTCAAATAGAAATATATATACGTCATAATTTCAAAAGTCAATAAAATATTTTATTATTAAAGAATAAAGTTCTCAGCTAATGATTTAGGCATTATTCTTATTTTCATAATGGCACTTTTTGAAAGGCACACGCATGCCTGGACCCTGCCCAGCCTGAGCAGACTATGAAGTTCGTCAGCAGCCTATTGATGCCATTTCCTAGAAGAAGGTAGTTGTCACTAACAGGCCAGTTGAGCTGCCAAGTGGATGTGAATCAGCACACATGCTGATAGGGGATGTCTAGTGCCAGAAAAGGACAAGGGTATGAACTGGATGACCAGCGAATGATGTTTTGAAACACGAATCAGTCATTTAGAGGCCAGCAAGTGCTGAGCAGGCATGGGAATGAAAGAAAGCCAGAACTTGTGCAGACTGAAGTACCGCAGAATGAGAGTTAGAGAAAGGGTAATGGGAACGGTGAGGTGCCCCGATGACTGGTGGGCCATAATGATGGAAGCAATGGTACCAGCCCCTTGTCCAGCACAGAGTGCCAAGAAGTCAGAATGGCTAAGGGGAAGAGTGAGGACTAGAACGTCGTTGTCTGTACATCTGCTGTTCCAAAGCGCCATCATATGTAGAGAATCTCAACAACGGCCGGAGTATTCCGAGTAGAGAGAGAATGGAGTGCACACAATCAAGGTGGGAAATCAAAAGGGAAAGCAGCAGCAACAGCTGCAGGAGTAGGAGGTAGGAGGAGGAGGAAGAGGAACAGGCAGGAGCGGAAGGTGGTCAACGAGGCAGACAGAGCAAGGATAAGAGTGATCCAGTGATACACCACTGTACCTATGAACATGTGATGGACTGCAGAAAGAGCAATGTAAGAGTGTGGCTTTTGTCATCATGATCGAGGGCGGGAGTGAACAGGTCCGAAAGGAAACGGCGCTGCCGCAGGAGGAGGATGACGGGGGGGGAGGAGGTGGTGGAGGTTTCGATTTGCCGTAGAGTGTTGGCTTTGTCATCAGGATCGAGGGTGGGAGTGAAGAGGTCTGAAAGGAAACGACGCTGCTGCAGGAGGAGGATTACGGGGGGGAGGAGGTGGCGGTGGAGGTTTCAATTTGCCGTAGGAAGGAAACATGCTCTTGAGTCTTTCACTGGCAGGCCTTGGCATGTATGAAGCTGGGTTCGGTGTCCACTTCTTCAGGTGCTTGATGATGCCGCTGATGTAGCAGTGAATAAGCTCCTCCTCTTCAATACACTCACCCTTCTTGAGACTTTGCTGTGCTTGGCCAATGGCCTTGCCAATGGCTCCCAAGGGGCTGCGCCAGACAGGCAGGAATCAGAGTGAAAACAAAATGTCAGAAAGAAGATCGCTGTTCTTTTTCACATTCAACGAACGAGTGGAAACACTGGAAAGAAACATCAAATCAATTGAATTTAATTGATCCATAATTCATAACATTCGGCAACATTCCCGATTTGTCCCTGATGGGCACATTTTGGAGAGGAGAAAGTACAAGAAGAAATTGGAAAGCTATACAAGAATGCAAGGAGCTGGCTGGCACAAACGTTAGAAAATTATAAATGGCTGAAAAGCCGCTGAATCAATTCGCAGCAGCATCCTGGGTGAGGCAACCCAAGATCCAACTGATCCTCCTCCGCCACTAAGCTGTGATAACCCTTGATTGTTATTTATAGGTGCCCTTGTTTAGGTATTGCAAGTTCGCAAAGCAGTTATAGCCATCCTGAAACCACCAATACTTGGCCCATACATCGGCCGCAGACCCTTCACCGCGACTTCCGGAGGCCATAAACGTGAAAACGGCCGTTGATGAAATTTATCAACGGTGCTGAGGCCCCAAAAGTTGCGGCGCGTGCACGAGAGGCCAGACCCGTTTTCCAGCAGGTGTCGCTCCCCACAGATAGACCGGAGCCCTTAGCTAGAATGCTACCGTCTTCCCCCGAACATAACGCACCCTGAAAAGGAAAGTATACAAGACATGTTTCTGGCCAGATGCATTCAGAATGAGGGTGCGTTGTGTTCGGGGGAAGACGGTAGCGGTGAGTGCTGTTACCACCATCGCTAGCACCCCCAGCAGGTGTTAAAAAAAAAGAAAAAGAAAAAAAAGAAAGAAAAAAGGACCCGCGGCCGATGTATGGACCAAGCACTGGTGGTTGCAGCGAAGGAACGGAAGCGTGACAGAAAGGAACATGGAAAAAAAAAAAAAAAACAGGATGCGACAGGAGGGAAGAGCATGGCAGGGAGCAGGGTTGAAGCGGAGAGGAAGGGAGGGGAGAGCATGGAAGGCCAGAGGAAAGATGAGGAAAGCAGAAGATAGCAAAATGCAGCAGAAAAACAGAGAACAGGAAAGGGTGGAGTAGAGCAGAAGAGGACAGTTGAAAAGGTGATCACACATTTAGGGCCTCGCCACACTACTCATCAGATGTGAAAATGTTAGTGCATCTTCATGGAGAAGACGCAAGATGCGGGTTTCCTGTGGAGTAGAGCAGAAGAGGACAGTTGAAAAGTCTGTCTCTTATACACATCTAGATGTGTATAAGAGACAGAAGTAAGACTCCTGAAAACAAATTAATGTCATTTCTGTCCTTAGCGTGCCACTTGGCCAATCTGCATCCATTGTCTCTTTCGCCCCCCCCTCCTCCCCCTCTCCCTCCCGCTCTTCTTCCCCTCCACACAACGATGGACAAGCCATGGCCATAGGTCCAATTGCCACCTCGTATAACTTCGTATAATGTATGGTATTAGCGATGGTGGCCTTCTTCCCTGTCTCTTATACACATCTAGATGTGTATAAGAGACAGAATACTCTTCTTTCCCCACCATCCTTGTGGCAATTGCTGCTTCAGCCCCCTGTAACTCTATGTTGATTTTTGGTTAAACAGGCAGCATGGCACTACAGCAGCAATTTTTTTTTCTCCTTTCCCAACCAACTGGGGCGCATCACTACCTTCTTCCCCCGAATACAACGTACGGTCATTATGGCTGTATTTGAGGCATCTTTCAGTCTAAGTACAGCTATAATGACCGTACGTTGTATTCGGGGGAAGAAGGTAGTGAAAGGAAAAATGGGTAATGTGAATGACAATAAAGTTGAATAAACCAAATTGCAGCATTCCATAGAAATCCACATAACGTTATGATCGAACTGAAAGCAGATTGCACCAGGAGATATACCAAATGAGCAAGATCAAAGCAGTGAAGTCGATTGATAATGAAAGCCCTCTTCTCACCTCCAGCACCAATGCCCACAATGTCGCTCTCCTACATAGCGCTCGGCGCCCAGGATACAACAGGTCTTCCACGAAGTACAGAGGCCCCATGATGAATGAAGACTCCGAAGATACGGCCCACTCATCATCACCAGGTAAGCGCCCTCTTACATCGCCCACTTCTCGATTTCCCCACTCTCACAGTCCCTCACCCAAGGACCTCCGCTCAACCTCCTCCAGCTATGGGGGGCAGCAGCTCGGCTTTGGTCGCTGCGCTCCACCAGAGCCTTCTTCCACCTGGCCGGGCATTCGTTCAGCATGCCAGCGCTCCAGCAGCGCTGCCACCGTTCAGGCAGCCAGAATGTGTGAAGTGAGGCTGCCTCACTTCCTTTTGTGTGTGTCTGGCTGGGCGAGGCAGTCTCAGGATAGCTGCGCCCAGGGCCCTTCCAGAATCTGCCTGGGGCTCAACTGTAAGAGCCCTGGGCCTAGAATCTTTGTTGGGCCTCCAGCATCTACAACCCACCCGGCGTCCAGCTGGTTGAAGATGCTGCACGCAGCAACCAAGTTGAGCCAACCGACAGGGCCCGTCATGCTCACAGCGGCCTCTTTCAGGCCTCACCGATTTCAGGCAGGCCCGCCTTCACTTAGGGCAGGTACAGACAGTTTCCAGCGGGGCAGGCCTCGCGACCTGGCCCAGGGCCCTTATGCTTCACACTAGTGCTTTAAATGCTTTGTCAGATGCATGGACAGCGTGTTCTACAAATGGGCTGTGACATGGAGGCAATCCAACAGGTTCAGTATGTGGTATGGGTCCAGGCGTAGGGGTCTGGTTGGCGTAGAATACGAAATGATTGTGGCATCCATGAAATTTGGCAATGAGTCCAAAGTGGTGCCTTAAACCACCAGTACATGGGCCCAGGCAACTGGAGAACCTGTTTTGAGCGTCTCCGGAAATCTAGGAGGCCAAGCGCCGTAAGATAAAAATGAATCGGTGGCGGGCGGCCTCCGAAAGGGGCTCGCGGCCGATAGCTGGCATGTACTGGTGCTTTAACCCTACAGTTCCAATCTGCCGCTGTTTGTAGGGAAGAATCACACACTCTGGAAGGATCACAGCCATAACCCATCAAGCAAAAAAAGGATATGATACTAAGCATAACAACTAATAGATAGATATCCAGTCCATGGTCAGAGGCTATGGAAGGCTGGGTATAAACTTCCACAAGCATGTTCTACAACTTCAAAACATGTGGACAAATAACTGCGACAGTTCGCCATCGGCAGATGAACAACAGCAGAAATAACTGTGACGTTTCAGGATGAGCAGATGAAAAATGGCTGGAGATGCATCATCAGCTCTTCCTCACATGCAATTAAAAAACGTTTTTCGTTTCACGTAACTATCATGCCAACTAACTCCATTTATGGGTTGATGGCAGGAGTTCCCAGGCTCAATCCCCTCTTCTCCCTATGGGCTCCTAAGCGACCGAATAGTGAGACAAGGGGTGACAGGCTGTGATGATCCATGGCCTGTACCACACCTGGAAGAGTAAATCTGGTACAGAAAACCTGTTTTCGGGCCTGTTTCTCAATTTTGTGGTCGGGGGACACTTTTGGAATTCGCGCTTGGACTAGCTACAGTTGTGATCCACTCAAGGGAAGACTGGATGAGGAAAATAGATTGGAATTATTTTGGTTTGAATCTGCTTTTCGGTCGCTTCAAGACTTTTCCGGTTACATATGCACGTGTGTGAAGGTCTTAATGCTTGCATGCAACCAGCCAGCTTCCTGCTCCCCTGCTTCTTGTGCCCATTTCTCCACCTTAGCAAGGGTTGATGGGGCTTGATGGAGACAGAATATAGGGCGCAATGGAAAAGGGCCCAAGGCCGGATAAAGGACCATCCCGAAAAAGGATAAGGAGATAACAGAAGTGTTTGTGAAAAGAGTACTATGAGGGGGCAAGATAGTGAAGACTAAGGGACAGGGTCTGCTGTTTGTATGGTGGGCAAGGACTGAGACTTAGGTAGTGCCTGGCCCCCAAGGAGTCAGAAGCATGGCTGGGACCTCAAGTTTCAGTATGGGGGAAGAGTAGGGTAGGTAACAGGAAAAAAAAAAAGAAAAAAAAAAAGGGTAGGTAACCGGAATACGAAAGGTTTGATTTCTGGGATGTTTTGTGGAAAAGGGTAGTATATAGAGAGGGAGGGGTCTGGCGCAAATCGTTGAATCCAATGGATGGGCATACCTGGCAGTCTATCCTTTCAAAGGAAGTAATCAATGCCGTAACGGTTCCTCGGGCCGTAAAGTGGGGAAGCCTTAAGGAGTTATTTGCTTTGAGGGGATGCTGGGCCCGCTTCCAAGCAGGTGAAGGAGCTTTTTAAAGAACAGAAAAAAAGACTGGGAAGTCCCATGCAGCCACTTTATCAAACACACTCATGCGAAGCCAGCCATCAAAGCAGACACGTAGTTGCATACCTGAAAAGGTACAGGAGCCATCTGACGCTGTAGTTTCCTTCCTCTCCAAGCCATAGTGCTCTGGTGGAGGAAGTAATTGCCCCCCCACGAAAGAACACGATCAATGAAAAATGATGAGTGGAAGTATATTGCTAAGGGCATACTCACACTAGGCCCTCAAAATCGCAAAATTCAAAAATGAGCGGCCGGATCTAGTCCTGCCTTTACAAGGACTCAATCTGGCCGCTCATTTCGCAATTTTGCGAGTTTGCGGGCCTAGTGTGAGTATGCTCTTAGTGTTTTGAAGATTGTGCTGACAAATGTCGTCAACACACCACACTTCATCCCAATTAAGTGTCAGATTAAAAATTTCTTGGCCAGCAATAGTTCCGATTGGAATACCGACAATCTGTTTCTGAAGTGTGAGATCTGCAGTGTACAGATACATGTTCTATTCAACAAAGTGAAGATGGTGGAGAATCTGAGAAACAGAAATGGTGTCTGGGCCTGAATCGGCTGTCCATTGGCCACAAACAAGGTCGTTGGAAGGATGTTCAAGGCATTGCCGTGTGCGTGCTTGCGAGCATGCCTAAGGGCATAAGCATGGGCTTCATCATCAGCTTTTGTCACATCATTCAGAGTGCGGTCATGAGTAAGGCTGGTGTACAATGTACATTGTGCTGAAATCAACAGTATGAGGAGAGAGGCCACGAAGAGAGGACGCATTGTTTTTGAGGTCATGCACCACTTCATCATCAGCACTCTGAACAATCCACACCGTCGAACACCAACCTGTTGATAGGGCTCAGTGCCTTTCTCACGAAGAGTAGAGTTCACTCCTCGCAAAGCAGTGCTAAGATACGAAGAATTGATTGTGGTACTAGCCAATGGTTTTGAGGAGATCAATCATGAATGGTATGAACTGTGGGACAAGGGCGAGCACATGGGAGAACAGCAATGTTGTTTTGTGCTATGACTCCGAGAATGCTGCGAAGAGATGGAGGACATTTGTGAGCTTTGAGGACATAGCAAAGGTAAGGCAGCATATCAGTATGGGTGTAAACCCAATGGTGATTCCATATTGCTTGGCTGCCGGGATATCAGCAACGGATTCATAAGGGTGGGTCCAAGTGGGACTGTCCAAATGGACAGAGGGATGAAACAGATACCAATATCTTGCAGCAGATTGCCAAAATATGCGATGTGTGTTTCGTCCACAGGGACAATGGCAAAGTGCTGTTGAAGACGGTGCAAGGAGGCATGAGTAGAACAAAGTGAACATGGTCGGCCCACACAACAGGAAGACATAGATTCATTGAATTGTACACAAATGCGGCCATTGTGGACAAACGTGCGGGCAAGTGCGGTTGGGTATATCGGGTCATGGAATAATGTATACACCATGTTCATTGTCACTTTATCTGTGCTACAAGTGTACGTATTCACTTAGTGAATGTTCCATCTATTATCTGCTCAAGCGTTTTATAGGCTATCCCCATTCATATTCATTCAGTATTTGTTTTTCAACGTAATCTCTGTTGCAGTACATAGCACATAAGATGTGTGCATTCAGTCTCCTTATTACTAGCGCTATATTTACATATTTGAATGATATTTCCAATTTCGCAAACTACATTTTCTCTCCACATTGCTAGGACTCTACATACTCACTATGTTTTAGCAGTATGTATAAGCATGATGACCTGTCGTCACCGAAAGCAAAATTGGGAATTTCCGATCCGAAGTGCTCATGGCTTCTCACCTATTTCTCTCATTATGATGTACGATTCGGAGCTTTGACAACTGAAACTCCAGCGAAAGATAAACGATGCTTGCAGGACACAACTTGAGTGATTTTGCCGCTTGAATACCTTTCTGCAGGATCAGCAGAATTCCATCAGCACACACATTGGCAATATAAGTTGAAATTAGTGCCATAGCACACACAATAACAAGACGATTTGAAATTAGCACTGTGCTTGGTCTCTCTCATAGTTGAATTAGAACTGAGGAAAGATTGCACTCCTGGAGGATGTGGTGCCCGCTCGCCATTCACCTCTGCAGCAAGGAAAGCTTCCAAGCATGCATGCGGATGGTCAGGGATGGTTGGCATCCAGGACTGTAGACAAGTGTCTGTCGATGCAAATAGTCTCCCCGACAGCTGAGGTGCAAAGGCAAGGAGGAGGAGAGAGTGAGAAAATGTAAGGTACCAATGTTGCTGAATGGTACACCTATGGCACGGCTTCATTGTGGCAATCCCTCCTTTTTCTTCTTTTGTCAAGATGAACGCACAAAGGCTCACGAAAAAACGCACACACACACACACACACACACACACACACACACACACACACACACACACACACACACACACACACACACTTGCTAGCTCTCTGTCTTGGCAGATTTGAGAGGTTAGGATCGGGCTCCTAGGGCTCCTGTACTAGCGAGCTACTCTTTCTTTGTTTTTTTTATACATGGCCTAATTCTTTGCCCTGCTTTATAGCATGGGCTGTCTTGTTGATGAAGTAATGTTTGCGGGTGACCACCATTTTTTTCTGGGGTGGGAGTTTGGGGTTTTGGCCACAATATGTCTGTGAGGATGCTCGGAGAGTGTCTGCTGTGGGTGTCATTCCTGTGGGCTGCTCTCTCGGAGCACATGGAAGAACGGGGTGCCTTCTAAGGTGTTTTAAGCAGTAGCGCTCCTGGTGTCATGTGGAGATCTTGTGGAATCTGGCATAGTTCTCGCAGTGGCCTTGCTGTAGCATTAGGACATCATCCGATTCTGCAGGTTGCACGGCAGGGGAAGGTTCATGGCACTCTTGGTGTTGCGTACAGGTCCTGCGATGTATTTTTGATTTGTGGTGGCTTTGTAGGCCGTCGCAGAGGGCTTATTTTTTTTACACCATTGGGATGTGTGGTCGGTGCTTTTTTGTTAGTGGAGCCTTTTGTGTTATGCTGTTTTTTGTGGTTTTGTGGCCGACGTGGAGGGCTCTCCAAGTTTTTTTGAACCTATGGCGGATGGGGTCAGTGCTTTCTTGCTGGTGGAGTCCTCTGTCTTAGGTAAGTTGCGTTTTGCCCTCCACCCTTTTATTGATCAAATAAGTATATGTATTATCATACTATTATGTATATCTCGTCAAAAAGATATGTGCAAGTATGCCGCTTCGGCGGCAGATGGGTGTGTGGGCACTTGGTGCTGAATCACACAAACGTGGCCAACCTTGAATTTTGTATTATATTGTCTATCTATCTAGGCTGATTTCCCGGGCGCCCGGGGGCCCAGACCACGCCCGGAAGAGTGCTCGGGGCCCTCGGGCGCTTTCTGCGGCACCAAAAAAATAAATTGAAAAACGCTGGACGGCGGGCCGGGCGTGGCGGGGGGTCAGGGGGGCCTCCAGACCATCGCGCGGAGGCCGTACCAGCCCCACGACGATAAAAAATAAGGGGCGATTTCAGGCCCTCCATCTGCAAGATCGAGGGCTTGAAATCGCCCTTCTTTCTTCCCCTTTGCCAAGGATCGCCGCGCGATTTCGCGCGGGCATTGCACTTTGAATGCCAGCGCGAAATCGCACGGCGATCTCTTGGCTTCCGATCACCTTCTGGAAACCTCCACCCTCCTCTCGTCCAGCGCTGCCCATCGCCCTTCGCCCGGTCCACGTCGCCATCGCTAGGGGTGTGCGTGTGTGCGTGTGTGCATGTGTGTGTGTTTTAAAGGACCCCAAATTCTCTCTCTCAGTGTGTGTGTGTGTGTGTG